CCCCCAGCTGCCTATGAATGGATTAATTAGAATCATTATTGCAAACTGGATTTTTGTTTTACATCATGTATCTGTGCAGTAGAATTTGGGTTTGCTATATCAAACTTTGCACCCTGCTGCTCTGTTCCTTTAATAGCTCGGTATCGTTTGACAAGGTGATAGGGATAAATCCATTTTTTTTTTACTCTGGACATAACTGCTTAGATTTTGAAAACGACATACAATGCAGAGGATATAAATTTACTCATCTAATGACTTGGTTTAGGAATTGCTCCAGTTAAACTCTTTATTTGCCATGGAAAAAAAACCCTACCTCAAGGAAAAGCTGCAAAGGTTTTATACCCCAATTGTTTCTCATTTCATAAGCTAAAAAGTTGGCTGATAGTAACGAACTCTTTTTCTCTCCTCTCAGCAGAGGTAGCCTTTGTTTTGGTTGTAGTTAGTACGAGGAATTCACTAGGAGTGGTACCGTGTCATTTGATTTGTACTGGTGGGTGTACTCGCGTGTGCTGCCTTGCACTGGTGCTGCTGTATTTATATTCCAGGTATTTCCTAGAAAATGTACAAATCATCAGGGTGAACGTTAACGTTTGCCACTGCAAATGAAGCCTCCCAGATCTCGCGGTACTTAGTCACCACCTTTATTTCATTTTGTATAAATCATGGTTTCTGTTAATGAGCTTATTTTCAAGAGGGGACAGGAGAATTCTCTCCATGAGAAAGAAGAACTTTGTTCCTGTTTTTCCTCTTGACCTGTCAAAATAGAAGTGAAAAGAGCTGGAAAAATTATTTTTTCATTACAGGTTTTATTTTTAAATGCAGTTTTACGTTCACTTTCTGTTTGTTTTCCTTAGCGAGCCTTTAACTCCAAGGTTGTGACCCAGTAATGACCTCCTCTTTCCACTCTCGATTGCTTTTGACCTACTGCATTAAGTCAAAAGAAATAACCTAACAGAAGGGTAACCAGATCACTGCTGCCACACCAAGGAAGCAGGCAGGCTTTGGGATGCTCTTCTTTAATCTCTCTATCCGCAGAGCCTTCATTTTAATTTGCAAAATTGAACCCAGATCGAGAGCAGTAAAGCCTGAATACGGTAAATATTCATGCCTCAGTGATCTAGAGTGGCTCCATTACATTTCAGAGATTGGGAGAATTACCTTTTGGATTATGTATATTCATGGGCTGATTTTTATTTGAGATATACTGTTACTCGCAGTGGGCTACATGTCGCACATTCTACCCAAACCAGCCTTCTCACAAAGCTCCAAATGTTCCTTACATGTGAAAGTTTTACTTCCTTGCCCTATAGTTTCCTCCCTTTCATGCTTTTCAAAGGCTGGTGGTAAACAAATTTCTCTTAAAGAAGAAGGAAAAAAAAAAAAACAGTAGAAGTTCTTCTATAAAACCTTCAACCCTGTGTTTACTGTGATACATTCTTCTGTATGTGACTTTGAAGTCTTCAGATAAAAGTATTATTATTGTTCTAAACCTAAATCTATTTGGGGGGAAAAAAAAGAATTCAGTTCTTTTGGAAGCAGAAAATTCCAGACAGCCTTTCTGTAACCTATCATCTGCCTTGGCTTTGACTTCTTTTGGGCTTTTTTTTTTTATTTCCTTTGAAAAATGGTTTATTGAAACACTTTTTGATAAGTTGCAGAAATTTTAATTGGAATGTAAATGTTAAGCTTATTCTGTGTCATAGTTTTATTACGGGTCTGACATTCGCTGCCTAGATACTTGGTGGCTAAACTCACTGGCATTACATTCCGCTTTTAAAAGGCGTGCTTTTGTCACCTGTAGTGATAGGTGGCACAAGCAGCACTACTCAGTTTAAGGGTATTGTGTCTTAAGATTCCCTTTTTTTTTCTTATTACAAAAACCCCAGAGAGATTCTAGTCATTTGGAGATGGAAGGATGTGTAGTAGGTTTCTGGCTTCTACTTCCTTCCACACATCCTTGGAGTGTGGGGGTCTCTTCCTTACCTACCTCAGGCTCTTTTGGCCAGAGGACTAAAAGAGGATGTGGTCTTCCCTTATGTGAATAGTCACCCAAATGTGGAAGAGGCAATGCAGAGAGAAGACAAATGCACAATGGGGCTTGGTGCCCTTGGTGTTCCCTTTGTGAGTCCCAGGTAGAGGAGGAGATGTAAGGAGTGGAGGCCAAAGAGGATCTTAAGACCATGCAATACTGCAAGGGCAAGTCATGCGTGACCATCCCAATGGCCTTCTGTGTCAGAAAGTTTGGGTAGCATCTCACACAGCTTTCTCATGTGGAAACGGTGAGGTGCAGGTTGGATTTGGAGGGTCTGATGTGAGTTAAAAGCAAAGAATTTGGCATTCTTCGTGATTAGAAGTGAATTTCTGGACAGATGCGCTTATGTGATCTGAATTGGAGCTTTGCTTGTTTCAGTGAGTGTGCTTAGGCAGGGGTTGGGTGAAGACTAAAAATTGTGGTACCTGTCGGACAAGTGGGCAGTGTTTTTTTGGCAGTGTAGCTTGGTATCCTCTGACCACCAAGAGGTGATACTGGAAGCAGGAAGATGAGATGCCTCATTCTTGATTTGGGTCTTTAGAAGAGCAATTGGGAGGAAGGGAGTCCGTGCAAAAGCAGTGGATATGGGATGTACTCTGTGCAGTTGAGCATTTGCTCTTCCTCTTCAGCTGTAAGGAGGCACTTCTGCTGGGGTAAATAAGGTGGGGTTTCTTGTATTTGGCACTTCGCTTCCTTGTATGGTCAGTTTATGCCTATCAAGGCTGTGTTTCAGGCTTTTTTTAGTTACTTTTAATTCCTGTTTGTGTGCTGGTTGAGGCAGGCTTGCTCTTGGTGTGTTTCTAAACCTCGGGGCTGAAATGATGCTTTCTTCATTCATCCGTTCCTCATCCTTCCTGGATGTAAGTTTAAAGGTGCTGCTCTCAGCATCTGGGCTCTGAGATATGATCGTGGTTTTAAACTGGTTGTAGTCCTCTCCATTTGCATTGGAGTCTCTTTTTGTAATAGATAAGTAATACTCCTTTGACAAATGCTGCCTTTATAATCAGTATTTTCTCTAATAGATTATTGATTATAGATTATTGAGACTAATTATTTTAACTTTGAGTTCCTTGTCAGTGGTACAGGGAAAAGTAGGGCTGATGCATCTTTCCTATCAGAAAGATGCACTCGCAGCATTGGGAGCCAGCAGGATGACTAGGTTCTTATCTAAAGAAGCTTTGAGCAATGGCATATGGTTGATAACTTAATGGAAGTTGGATAAATAAAGGAAAAGAAGCTCTGACATATCAGGGGAAAAAGTCATTAGTGGAGTTTTTCTGTATCCTGTTTTCTGTTAGTCCATGCTTAACTGCTTTGAAAATCTTAGTGGGCTTGTCCTTTGGTCTTCAGAAACCAGGTTCTTGCCTTATATTGAACACACTTGTTTATCTCAAGGGCTGAACTGGTTGGGTGCTTTTGATTTCTGGTTTGCATTTTTTTTAATCGGCATTTGAAAAACATGAACTTCTTCTTTCTCACCCTTTTGAAAGACCTTTACCTAATGCTTGAGGAACATTAATGTGATTATACAAATAAAATTTAAACAGGGAAGCAAATCCCTCTGCAAGTGATGTAAGATTTCAACACATGGCTCTTGACTGATACGATCAGATATCATCAATTCCCTTGTGCTGTTTTGAGGAGACAAAACGTGAATGAATTTTAGTGAAGTTTGTAACGAGTTTTATACTGGTTTTCTGTGTTTACCTCCATTGTTTGCACGCAATAAAGTCTCTTATTAAAGTTACACTCAATATTGTTCACTCTTTTTAAGTGCATAATTCCCCCAAAGAAAAGTAAAACGTCTGTTGAATTGCCAAAATAGGCCTTGCACTGTTTTCATGGATAAGATGAGATGGAAGTTGTTTTGTAGAGTCGACTTTGAGGACAAGAATTGAGTGCTCAGGATAAATGCACAGATGGTGAAGATGTTGCTCCTAGCTGTTCTCAGTTATGAACTCCTATTGCTTAGGGCAGTGTGCTCCAAAGTGAGTAAGGTCATTCTGTTGGTAGTTCGGTGGACTCGGTGATGCAGCCCAAATTCCCTACTGGAAATTTGTATTGCTGTGAAGATAAAGAAAATACGTGGAAGTTTAGAGCTGTGGTGTAACTTGTGGGGACGCATGGGGAAAACGAGGTATGCAGAGGAGAAACAAATCTAAAGCTGAGGGCCAGTTGTACCTCAGTGCTTCCAGGTTTGTATTTGAAAGGCCAGACAAAACAAAGATGAATTTTGAGTCTCTTGAAGAAAACTCTACGTTTGGAGTATTTGAACCATGGACAAATGTCTCTGTCAGCTGGGGTCAGAATGAGAGTGAAATACTGTACTGGTGTTCATGGGCTGCTCAGCAAACAGGAAGCTCGTGATTTAAAGCTACTCTGGATCTTGTTACTTGATCCAGTGGGTACAGATCAGCTCACTGATTCACTTCTCTGCTGGTTCCATGTCTGACCTTTTGAAGGAGATGCAATTCCAGTTTGGTTCTTGCGTGATCTAATCCACATCCCCTCCTCTTGCCCTCCCCATTCTGTACCCTATACTGCTTTTACAAATGATTCTGGTACTGAGAACGTGTAGGAAAAAGAAGAAACAGGCTTGAATGTGATGTTCTCATTTCCTCCTTCTCTCCTCTACTCTGTCTATGGGAACTTCAGAAGAATAAATACCATGAATATAAGGGGAAGAACTGTTTGCATTTAGGATAAATATAGATGGGCTGATTAAATTGTCTGCAAGGTACTGGACAGGTATGAAGGGCTGATCCTTAGTAGGTTGAGTAAGGCAGTATCCTTCCCTTCATAATAATCCAAAGAGGTGGAACCCCATGTTAGTGACAGTGATGTTAGCCCTGAATTTATGAAAATTCAAGTCTTTACAAGAAAGCTTTGAGCTGTTGATCTTTAAATATATGGGAGGTCATAGACTGAGATGGTGATTAATGGCTTCTCTTTCTTGCTCTCTCAACAGGTGACAAAGAAAGTCAAGTCCATGCAGATGTTCCATACTCCTGTGACTTACGCCATGCAGGGTGACAGAGTGGGCATCTGCGTAACCCAGTTTGATCCCAGGCTGCTAGAACGAGGCCTGATCTGCACCCCAGAGTCACTTCACACCATCCACGCTGCAATCATTTCCCTGAAGAAAATCCAGTATTTTCGAGGCGCTCTGCAGACCAAGGCCAAGTTCCATATCACAGTTGGCCATGAAACCGTTATGGGACGAGTGATGTTTTTCAGTCCAGCCCCTGCTGACTTCAATAAAGAAGTTCAAGAAGATGCTTTTGATTTTGAAAAAGATTATCTTTATCAAGAGGTGTATTTGTCCAAGGACTCAAATTCTTCTGAGAACAAAGAGAATGACCAGGCAGGAGAAGTCCAGCTCCCAAGACAACAGTGGGCTTTGCTAGAGTTTGAAAAACCAGTCACTTGTCCTAAACTGTGCCTTGTGATCGGCTCCAAGCTGGATACAGATATCCATGCAAATACCTGCAGGCTGGCCTTCCATGGGGTGCTGCTCCAAGGCATGGAAGACAAGAACTACACGGAGACTTTCCTGCCAAAGCTGAAAGTGTACAAGCTGAAGCACAAAGAAGGACAAGTGGAAAGGGTAAGCTGCCTTTTCAGTGCTATACATGGGGAGGGGGAATTTTTGTTCTATGTAAATGCATATATTGGTGGACATTGAAATGTGAAGACTGCAAAAGGGGCCCTACAAGGATGCTGGGGAAGGACTTTTTGGCAGGGACTGTGATGATAGCATAAGGGAAATGTGTTAAACAGGAGACTCAGATTAAATATAAGGATAAATTCTTTACAGTGAGGGTGCTGAGGCACTGGCACAGGCTGCCCAAGGAAGTTGTGAATGTTCCATCCCAGGCAGTATTCAAGGCCAGGTTGGACACGGGGGCTTGGAGCGCCTTGCTCTAGCAGGAGGTCTATTTTCTGGACTCACTCCAACAGCTTCACGTCCCTCTTGTGTTGGAGGCCCTAGAGCTGGACCCACTGTTTGTATGCATAGAAATTGGCCTCGTGAATGACCAGTTGCCATCGACCAGGCTGTCTGCAGGTCAGGCTTGTTCTCTGGTTCTGCCTCCCGTGGCACTGCAGATACTCAGAGTTGGTGTTTTCCTTGATGCACGATGGTGGAGCAAGTGTCCTAAGAAACCCTCACGGTGTGAAGTCACAGGGGCACACAGGGACTTGGAATAGCTGGTGGGAAGAGGGCTGTGCCAGCTGGGGAAGTGCTTCCAGTCGGGAGCTGCTATTGAGCCTGTGCTCTTGCAGAGCAGCGAGCAGCAGGAACAGTTGGGTGGTACAGTGCCTTATTTTAGTACACAAAGTCATTGGCTCATAGAAAGTCTGAATCAGCTGGTCCCACCCTGTTGCTGATGGCTGGAGATTAGGATCACTCAATTTAGGGTGTCTGTTCTTGGCACTGCTGCAGGAAAGTTTCTTTTTCTGTTGAGCAAGGAAGCTACCCCCCCCCCCCCCCCCGAGGGAGGCATAAAAATCATCATAATAATTAAAAAATTCAGGTTACCTCCATGAGAAGTGAACTTTTCCTCCAGAGAACGCTGCTGGGGAAAATGAGCCCCAGAGCATCCCGAAAGGGAGGCAGGGGCTGTACCAGCTGCATTCCTGGGCTTAGTACCATCTGGGAACACGCATCCAGGATCGGGGTGCAGCAGGGTTTAGGAGCACCCCGTTGTAAAACACTGCTGCTGATGTGATGGGGGCTCTCCCCCTGCCTGCTGCTGGAATTAGAATCAGTTCCCTGTGGTTTAACTACCCGTTTACCCAGGAGAAATCAGGCATTTATGGTTTGGCTTTTTGTTCGCGCTCTGATTAATGTCAGAGCCCTGATGGAATAGTAAGAACTGTAAATTCATTAAGTTTCAGCACCACGGGGCTTTTCTTTTGGGCCCCTTGGGCACAGCACCCTCTTGGATTTTAAATTGGTGGGGTTTTTAAGGGTTTTGGGTGGGCTTTTTTTGGTGTTTGGGGTTTTTTAAATGAAAAACATTTATTCTCAAAGATTTGCTGGCTCTCGAAGAGCAAGTGTGATGGCTTTGCTGTTTCACACAGAAATCAGATCCATCAAGTGGGTAAACAGCATCTTTTATAAATCACATTTAAACTCGCAAACTGTGTTGAATTAGTGGATTTTAGTGAAAATTCACACTTCAGCTTCCAGCGTTTTCTCCTCTGCTCCAGTAATGATGAATGTCCTACAGAAATTCAGATACCCTTGTGCTCACCGTTTCCTTTTGGTACCCTGACTCTTTAATGTGGAGTGGAGCACTAGGAGGGAAAGAATCAAAGCCTGACTGTTGCTGTTCACCAGAGACTTTGAATTTACCTTGAGCCTCTTTTCACATCCTTGCTTATTTATCTGCTGATCTCTTCTTTAGGGATGTGTTCTTGTAGTACCTGAGAAATTTGGCTCTAAATTCTGTATCACTGCTTTTTGGGTGAAGCCGGTGTTGTCTGAGGTGCTGCATAGTGCAGGAAACCTGCTTCTTGCCATGCTGGGGTTGCAGCTTGGCTCTGGAAAAGCTGCATGATTCAAAGTGCAGTTACGATTTTTCTCTTGTTGGTTTGAACCGTTGTGTGTGACTGCTCCTGGTTTACTGCAGACCAGATTTGCTTTGTGGTTAGAATAAGTCTTTTAGGGGTTAGTTGTAAGGAAAATCAAAATCTGCCGTTCCCTCCGAGCTCGGAGGCGGAGGTTTGTGATTGCTTGACTTGATGGTTTTAAAATGATATGAAATACGAGTCCAGCTTTCCCCTGCAGAGAGGGAGGGGAGAAGTTCAGTGGAAGGAAGTTTCTGTCGAGCATCTTTCTGGCGTGGTTACAGGGAGGCAGAGACTGTCGCCCTCTGGACACTTTATTTATGCAGAGCCTTGGCTACCTGACAAATGCGCTTTCGATAGGAAAAAGAACCAGGCTGGCAACAAGTGGCTTGTGCTGATAACAGGGTAAAGGCAAGGCTGAGAGTGCTATTGTGAGCACCAGTGTCGCTTCAAGGAGTGCGATGTGGGAGTCCCTGTGAAAAAAGGGGCAAATGACATGCTGTGAAGAAGGTTTGTCCCTGTGAAGTGGCAGAGAGCAGTGGGGGTGAATGTGGGCTTGTTAAACTAGAGCAGGTCAGCAGCCCCTGGACCTGGATACTGAGGATAAACAGCAACTGCTGTCCTTGGTCTTCTCCTTCTGGAGAGCCCCAGCTCACCAGTCAGCTCTTGGTGGTTCTGTGGGCAGAGAGACCTGTATTAATCCCCAAACTGCTTTTGAAATACCTTCCTCTCAGTTCTACCTCTGCACAGCATTGAAGGTTGATGCCAGCCTGACTCGTGAAGCAGTTACTCAGTTCCTGGGATAAATCCCTTCTATTTATCACGTTATTTGCTCTTCGGCTTCCATGGCCATACGGGTTGAGAGCGGAGAGTTTCAACTGCAAGGTGAACCATAGAAGTGCATCATGCTTTCCTGCGTGACTCAGATATTCTGCCTGTTTTGCAAGTGTTTGCACCAGCAGGGTTTATCTTAGGATGGTTGCCACTGGGTCCTATTGTTGAGGATGCTCGTAAATCAGTAGCTTTGTCAGAAACAAAAGGAGAAGGAAAACCCTCTGCCTTGCTTACGTAGCACAGGCTGCACCTTCTGCACTTACAAGTTTGTGTGGTGAAAAACATACGCAAGTCTCAGCTGTGATTGTTTCCCATTTTAAGCATAGCAGAATGTTTCCGAAGAGAATGGGTTTGTCCTTCCTAAAGATGCTTTCTGTGTGTTCCTCTGACATTAAGAACTCATTTTCTCTGTGTGCTTTAAAGTTTTTAATGTATTTTTCTCATTATTTGCCTTGTTCTTAGGCTTTATCACACTGCACTTCTTTCTCCAGCAGTTTCCTTCCATGTCTCACAGCCATGGGATGTCCTGGTGTTACTCACAGGCACTCTGTTCCCAAGTTTTGTGGGTTGGTGGATAAAGAGTTTTCTTAGTGCACTCGTTCCTGTGGGGACTGAGGCCATTGTATTCCTTTCATGCTTATGTTTGGGAGGATGGAAGTGTCAGTTAGTGCTTAGTAACAACGTGTGACTGGTTATTTGAATATTGGTACTGTGTAAGGGTCCCCAAAGGGAAAAGTATTGTCGCAGGAGCAAGATGGGAAAGCAGGGTAAGTTACCAAGGTTTTAATCAGTGCATCTCTTCTGAAGCCTGAATGGAAAAGCAAAAGCAAGTGCACACTGTCAGGTTATGGGGAGCTCCTCATCATCCAAAACCCCAAAGTCCTGCTCCTCAGGGCTGCTGATTCTTCCATCCGACTTATTTCTGGATAAAGGATGTTTCATTGCCTTTCTGGGGCTGCTGCTGTTCTTACAGTGGCACTGCAGTACCAGCAGGATAGCAGGTAAAACACAAAGCCAGGCAGTGATGCTTTCTGGGTGACTGGACAAACCTGGGCGCAACGTAAGAGGGCCAAGCTACCCAGTGAAAACTGGGTGCTGTCTGCGGGAGCAACGGGGACCGCAGCAGGGCCGTGGTGGATGTCGCTCCATCCACTGTAAACATGCAGACGCCACAATTAATATTTTGCCTGCTTTGAAGTCTGCACATGAGTTTGTTTGGTTCTGCCTGGCTGCTGATGGTATGCTAAATACAGTCATAATACAGGGATGAAGGCACTCAGGTGAATAAAAGTGCACAGCACATTCACCAGTTAAAATGCACTGTAAAGCAGGAATATAAAAGATGCATTTATTTATTGGCTCTTGTTTAGGTTTTGAGTAAAAGGGTTTGAGAAGCTTAGCGGGGGAAAGAGGAAGGAGAAGGGAGGGCTGTGTGCTTATTAAACAAATACCAGTGCTGAGAAAGGAAGGGTGATGTTTGCTGTCTGACGCAGCATATGGATTAACACAGTAGAATATATGTGTCATAAAAGCATACTGGCCGAGCATAGAATCTGCTGCTCGCTCGTATGAGATGGGTGTCTTGTTCACTCCCAGCAAAAGAAAGGCTCTCTGCATGCGACTGGCCAGTAGAATTCTGCAAGGTTTGACTAACACCTATGGTTGTTACTTATATGATGACATTCAAAATGTAGACATGCTTTTTGGGCCTTGCAAGTGTATGGACAGCTGGTCTTGATTTTTCTGAGGTTGCGCAAGAGTCACCTGTGGGGGAATCGGTTTGTCAGCAAGGCAACCAGTGCTCCATTTTATTTATTGGAGCCAAAAATATATTAAGAATGTTACTTAGGTTGCAAAAATCAAGCACTTGGAAGTTCGGAAATGCCAGATTTACAGTTGCCTATGCAACATTAATTCTGTTCCCCTGTGCACTTAATAAGGCAGGGTTCCTGTGAAATTGTTTTGGATGTGGTCATGTAAAGGCTGTATCATGGGGCATATCAAAGAGGGATAGGAGTAAGGTTCTGTGGACATCTGGCATTTCTTAACTTCTTAAGTGCCCAATTCTGCAACTTAAATAACTGAGGTTTTATATAAATGTAATTTCCTCGGCGTTTTGAAAGTAAAAAGGTGAAGGGAAACTAAACGTACGTAATACTGAACTGTGGCCATCCCTCTCCTGCGCACCTTCACTCGGATTTGAGTTGTGCAGCAGTGTGGCGCAGGCAAGCGTTGCTTGGTATTAACAGACGTTGTTGACCAAACAGCAGGAGTCTGTAACCCAAGGGAGATGATGGACAGTTGGCCTTAGGCAGAGGGATCCCCAAACTGGAGCTGGAGGTGACATGGGAACGGGACAGCCTTAGGATGTTTGCGCATCCTTGTGGTGCCTTCAGCGTGGGATGCGAGTTTGTTCCAAGAGACATCTTTGTCCTCTTCTGCTGCAGCTCTCTGCAAGCCTGTCCTTGTCTCCTGCTTGAGTTCCAGTGAGGGTTTCGTTAAGCCCCTGTTCTTTGTCCCTCTCTGTTCTTTTCTCCCTCACGTTTTTGCATCCTCACATCCCATTGCTTTCCCAGTGTGTAAAGCTGTGTTTTTAAAAAGGAGCAAGAATTTGCAGCCTCCGGAATATTCCCATTTCTGACACATGGAAAGTGCTCGGGACTGTTCTTTAGAAATAAATGAGCTGTTCAGGGATCATGATGAAGATGTCTCAAGTGTACTTGTCCTAAAGTACAAAAATGCAATAAAAATTCTTTGTGTTCTCAGTGTTAGTCAGAGGTTCTTTTTGTTCTCTTTTTCCCCTCCTGTTGTTTTCGGCTTTGACTTCATTTATCAGTTTGAGAATAATCCTCAGACGCGTTTTTATCCTTTTTAAAGGGGGGCTTTATTTCTATTTAAACCCATAAAATTGTAGATTAAATCAGAAAAGGTTTTTCTTTGTCTCTCTGTGCGTCTTTCTAGTATTTAATATTCAGTGCTTTTGCTTTCTCTGTCTCAAACCGTTCCTTATTTCCCTTCTCATTCTGGCACCACTTTGGTTCTTCTGTGTTTCTGATCTGATACCCACCCCCCCCCACCCCCCATTTTGTTTTTTTTCCTACAGATATGTTAGGACACAGAGTTATTTGCTCTCAAGATGTGTGTGATGGGTTGTTGAGGGGTGTTCAGCTGATGGTAGTTTCCGAGTTATCTTATCAACTGGGGTGGTTTAACAGGCTGGGCAGTACAGCTTGTGGCCCTGCTCAAAGGGAAATCACAGTTATTTTCCTTGGAATTATACTATGGTTTGCACTGAGTTGTAATGTTAACTGTGGTTTTACAAACAATATGTGGTGGTGTAAGTGCTGCTTAGACGGGGTGTGTGAAGTGGTTAATGTTCCCTGTGAACTTGTTGGTATTAGCAGAGGTGGCGTAGGGTTGCTCGTGCTATGGTTAGAAAGGGCTGTTTACTTTTTCCCTGCAAGCACAAAAGCCGAGTGGGAAGGGATATTTCATAAACTCAGTGCTATTGTGTCCTCTGGTCTAAGCCATAAAACAAGAGTAACAGAGACGTTCCCTTTGAACTCGAAATCCCTTTCTAAGCTGCTGATCTAACCTAAGGGAGAGGGGGAGGTTGTACCAGCACTATTTTTCTCTTCTGGGTATTTCTCCCTCCCCACCCCTTTTCTTCTTCTTTTTTTTCAAGTCCTTAAGTGAGTTTGATGCAGCACCTCTGCCCATAAATTTAAGAAAATATTATGGTAATGTAGGTCAGTGAACTGAACCGCCACTGTACACCGCAGGGATTAGAGCAGGGAGGCAGCGCTCTCCCAGCCCGCCTGCTCCTCCAACAGTATAAACAAGAAATGCAAGGAGCCTTCAGCTTTTGCTTGCCCTAATCCTTTGTTTATGCAGCACTTAAACTGACTTTTGGGGTCGTCTCTGTCTGGCATTAAAGCCCTAAAGCTTTTTGAAGTTTCCCTGAAGTTAATAAAATTAGTCTGCCCTGGTCGCTGGGCCCCTTGCTGCCGCTGCGGCGCGGGCTGCGGATCCTTTCCTGCCGCTGCAGCGCTCGGCTTCTTAAGTTAATAATAGTTTATAACAAAAAAGAGGGAGAGGAAAGCAGAAATCTCCCAAAAGGCTGTTCAGCTAATAGGCAAAGTGATTGCCATTGTAGATGCTCAGAGAACTCAAAGGGGATTAACTTAAACCCCAGCGATTGGAGGTAAATTGCTGGTAAAGTAATTGGAAGTGTTGAGTTTCAGTTGGAGAGCACAACACGCGCTTCTGTGCCCGCTTACAAAGCAGGACTAAAACAAAAAAACTTGGATTTTTCTTTTAGTTTTCCCACATAAAGTTGAGAAAATGAGGTTTCCTTTGTAGCGGTTATCTCCCCTTCACCCATTCCTTTTATTGCAGAGATGGATCAGTTCTTGGTACAGCAGGCATCCTCTTATTTAGTCTTCGGGAGTGATCTGGTAATAGGCTGGCTGGGGGGACAGGCACAGGATGGGATACGTAGTATGTAGTGTATGATGTGTAGTATTTAGTGTACAAGACTAGGACTTTGGGTCATAAAGGTTTTATTCTGAAGGCACATGATGCACGTAACGCTTGTTCACAGAACTCGTCCCAAGTTCTTGCCGGGGAGGGCTCTGAACTGACCCATCGAGGCTGGTATGAGTGCTCACCCTGTAATTCCCTTTTAATTAAATTAAAGATACTTTGAAGTGCTCTTGGAAAAATAAAAGCTGTTTGTCTCAAAATCTGGCTTCCTGTGCCATTTTGGGGGGATAACTACAAAAAGTACATGAAAGATCCTCATTGGAGGGTAGGAGACAGACTGTGCCTCAACCACAGGGGTGAGGAGCACGGAGCGAGGAGGCAAATGGTCGGTTTTGACATTCTTGTCTTAGGAATAAGATTTGTCAGAAGAAGCAATGGTTTCATTTCAGCAGCTACTGCAACTGGAAAAATAAAGGTTTTAAAGGATGCAAGTGCTTCTGCAGGTTGGAATTAACAGCTGCTTTTGCCACTAGTCTTCTATTTCAGACCAAAGAAAGGCACGCGTGCCTGGGAGCTTATCTTCCCCCTCTACCACCACCCGTTATCAGTGACTCTAGTAAAAGACATTATTCAGTTTTAAATACAAGCTAGAGGTTGCTGAGCAGTGATGCTTCCTTTACTGGTTCACAAGGTGTTTTGAAGCAGTGCTTGTTGAGTGGGGAGAGAGAGCAGATGCACCAAAACCCAGAAATATGAGGTTTTGGGAACAGACGAGTGGATGATTCAGCAGCGAATGTTGTTGGGATGTTGGAAAGCTGCTGCCTGCAGCCTGGACTCAGCACCCGGTGGGAGCATAGCTGCCTGGGCTCTGGTCATCTCCCCATGGGAGGAGGAAGAGGGGCTGTAGCTGTTCCTCGTCCTGCCTGGGGTCTGGGACAGGGTGAGGGTCCTGCCAGTGCTTCCCGATACTGCACAGACCTTTCCAGGGCAAGTAAAGCCCATTTAGAATTAAACAAAAGTGGATTTTCTGATGTTAGATTTACTGCCATACTGAGGTTGGCATTAAGAGGCACACGTAACAACATCATAAACGGTGTCAGGGATTTGAGTCTGTGTGTGCGCTGCTGGCTATGGAGGAGGCTTCAGTGAAGGAGAGTGGCTTAATAAACCAGGAATACTTTGACTAAAGGGGAGTGTTCAGAATTGATTATAATTCTTGACTTATCTAAGTCACTTTGGCCTTTGAAACCCTTAGGTTTACCTAAAATTTGCTCTGAAGATGTGAAGAACAACTGGAACACACACAAAATCATCTTGAGAATATTTGAGTAACATCCCCTTATTTCTTCTGATAAATAAATGTTCTGGCCACAACTGTGAGAGTAAGGCCAGGCGTGAGGTAGGTGATATTCATACCTACAGGATTAGGCTCACTTGAGTGCACCTTACCCTTCGCAGTGCCTGAGGGAGGTTTGGTTATCTCTCTTCACCCCCCAGCCTTGCTGCCGCTTGTTCCTGATAGCTTAATTAACAATTGGACTCAGAATGGCTCTTCCCACTGGGTTACAAACCTTGAAATTAAAATTGGATGCAATGGTCATAGGGCCTTTAGTTTCACAAATCCATGTGTAAAGGTGAATATTTAAAAGGCTTTATTTAGAAACTCAGTAATTCTGGCACTTTTTCAGAGGTGTTGCTGTTGGAGGGCAGGTCTGCAGCTAAGAGGCGGCACATTTGCATGGCTGATAACATACTTGGCTGTGGGAAAGGAGTGGAGTAAACTTTTTGTGGGCACAGGTACTTCAGTGACTTCCGTGGAAAGGTTTCAAAGCAGAAGAGACATTTTAATTAACTGATCTTTACAGCATGTTCTGATGCAGGGTTTTGTCCTTCCTAGATTGTAAGAAAGGAGGTGAAAGCACAAATATTTTAACTCATGAAATCTTCTGTGGTTTTAGACACAAATGTTCTTAAACTCAACATTTCTGATGACTCTTCCAGAATTCTGTTCGTTTGGAGGTAAATGGTTTTCCAAGGGCAGGATGCTGGAAGTCACTGAGCTGCGTGTACCTCAGAGGTGTAGCTCTTCTTGTCACTTTGCTCATGGAAGCCCTGTTTCTCTTGCAGGTGATGGATGATTACAGTGTGATTGGCCGCTCCTTGTTTAAAAAGGAAACAAACATCCAGATTTTCGTGGGTCTGAAAGTGAAGCTGTCCACTGGAGAGGATGGGATAATAGACGGTGGCTTTGGACAAAGCGGCAAGTTTAAGATCCGAATCCCAGGTAGGTGCTTGTCAGCTGGCAAATACTGATGGGTATCTAGTGCAGAGGATCTTCTCATGTCACAAGTCTGAGTGTTACCAGTAGCCTCCTGAGGTTTTGGAGTGAGCTCAAACCCAGTTGGACCATTGATTCAGTGGATTGTACCTCTTCTAATTGAGTGATGGTGGCTGTGAGACTGGGTGGCTTGAAGCCACATCTTCTGTGTTAACAAATACGGGTCTCCAAATGACTTCTTAAGTGTCAGTACCATGGAAATGGTTTGTGGAAATCTCTGCTCTCTTAATATCAGTATGATTTGCCCCATAGCCCTTCTGAACAAAGAAAGGAAAACCAACCTGCAGTCGCTGTAGCTACTTATTAAATACAGCATAGTGGATGCAAGTGCCTTAAATTGGCTCTGTTCTGCATGTTATTGTCTAACTTGCCTTCAAGCAAAAACTGCTTGATAAATGAGTCTTTGGAAATCTTGAGAGGGTTTTTTATTGCTCATGTCTCCTGGTTTTATGATATTATGTAGTACTGTATTTTTCATCCTTGTTGAATTACAGCAGGGATTTATGCCTCTTTGGGTTAGAGCATGGGGAGCGATGGGTGCTGGAGTTTAAAAGCATCACTACTGTGGTTGATTTTCTCCTTCTTGTAAGGTAGGAAAGTTCTGAGCCTTTTCAAAAGGTGCTTTTGAATAGGTGCTGTGTTTAACTCAAGATCGTGGGATAAGATTTTAAGGATACTTAAGAGTACTTTTGTGCTCCTGTAGTGTCTCCAGCCCACTTGTCACTAGTTAATCCTTCACCCTCTTTAGAGAGATTTATTTCTGTAGTACAAGTAAAGGAAAGAAATAGTGATGTTCTGTGACAGCAAGCAGTCACATAGTGACTGGTCTGTAGAGAAGCCTGAGGTTTCCTGGTTTCTTGCTGAAGATGGGCTGTTTTCCATTTAATTTAAGGCTTGATGCAACAGCACTAATTTTGACCCTCAGCAATTTCTTTCTTCCTATAGCAAGATAAGAATTTTGGACTGAACAAAACCCCTCCTGTGTTCTATCTTAGCTGTAATTCCAGTTCTGCTAGGCTTTGCAAATGGGTCTGGGAGCCTACTTAGCAAGCATAGTGCATGTGGAAAGCAAGAGGTTTCACCAGATACACGTATGTTTTGCATTTTCTAGCCCAGAAAAGCTTTTAAGCATTCACTGAGAATAGGCTGCATTTGGTGGGCGGTGAAATGATGTGTAGTGACCTTACAGCTGAAAAGGGTTCAAGCTGAAAGTCAAGATGCTATCTTGCTTAAAAATGTGGTATTCTTAGTAGCTTTTCTCTCCTGGAGGTAAAAATATGATGAAAGAGAAGGACAACGGGAGAGGTGGCATTTACTTTGCCATTTTGACGTTGGGAATGGAGGAAATGGTTCTTCATGGGATGGGGAGAAGCCTCCTAAGGAGACTGTGTCACCTGTAAGCAGGAGCTGTAATTGCAAACCAGCAGACACATTAACAAAATCATACACTGACTTAGAAATAGCTTCTTGCTTTGGATATTAAGTTAGTGGGAAGAAACGATACCTTTCACCGAGGTGTTTGTTATCTAATCTTGGTTATACTCTCCTGATGTTTAACAGCAGACCATGAGACAGAGGAGCCTTTCTAGTTTGTTCTTTCAATGAGAAGAATATGTAGCAGGAATGGTAGAATTTAATACCTCTCGAAGGCTGGCAGAATAATACAGTTAGTTTGCTTTGGAGTCTGGGTCAGACTTGGGCACCCTTGTTGTCTGGAAAGAAAAAGCAATAAGCTAAATCAGCTCAAGCTAAGAGCGTCAGCCAGCATGTGGCTAGCAGGGGAAAGAACCACAGACTTCGGAAGGGGCTAAACGCTGTGTCTTTAAGAGATGCAGAGATTTGTGTGGAGGGGGAGGGCTATTGCTGTGATGCTGTTTAAGTCAACTGTAGTTCACATTCCTTTGTTAGATCAGTGTTGCTTTTTTAATGTGTCTACATCCTGTTTGTGGGGTTTGGGGGGTTTTTTGTTTGTTTTCTTTAACTGATCAGCCTCTTCTCTCCCTTCGCCCCATTCTCAGCCTCCCCTCGCCCAGGGTTTTATGGAATTCTTTTGTGAAGAGTTCTCTTTAATTTTTCTGAAGTTATTTCCCCATGATTCCTTCACGAATGTGTCAGGGAAGGAACTGTGGGAGTTAAACTGCCTCAGCCTGGCAGGCGTCAGTCCTCTCATATTTAAACCCAGTCTTAACCTCTGGAATGAAATAAGTTGTTCAGGTAGTTAACCTGAGGATAAGTTGGTCTGATTCAGCCTGGAGAAGAGAAGGCCCCTTAAGGGGAGACCTTAGAGCATCTCCAGTGCCTAAAAGGGGCTCCAGGAAAGCTGGAGAGGGGCTTTGGACAAGAGTCTGTAGGGACAGGACAAGGGGAATGGCTTTAACCTGCCAGAGGGGAGACTGAGATGAGCTCTTAGGCAGAAGCTCTTCCCTGCGAGGGTGCTGAGGCGCTGGCACAGGGTGCCCAGAGAAGCTGTGGCTGCCCCATCCCTGGCAGGGTTCAAGGGCAGGTTGGACACAGGGGCTTGGAGCAAGCTGCTCTAGTGGAAGGGGTCCCTGCCCGTGGCAGGGGTTGGAGCTGGATGAGCTTTAAGGTCCCTTCAACCCAAACCAGTCTGGGATTCTCTGATAAATGAGGGCTGGTTTTAGGAACAAACCTCTAAATAGCAATAAAAATGAGGTAGATATGGCAGAGGCTTGTGTCCTGACTACTTAAGGTCATAGCAGACCATGGTGCATTTGTAGGGTGGTTTTGGTCCCACTGGCGCCAGCAGCCTCCAGCACTTTGTACGCTCACTGGGCAACTGTTGGGCTCCCCAAGTGTTGTTCTGTAGTCACGTGGAAATGGCTTGTGTTTCTCCGTGGATCACAGCCTGGGAACGTTGTCTCACATCGTCTGGGGGCTGAAAGTTGGCAGAGCACAACTGGGAATGGCAGAACATGGATCTGTTTCTTATTCTGGCACTGTTCGTGTGCAGCAATAAGTCAGATACTTTGCTCTGCTCTTCTGCTTGTGAAATAGGGATAATTACTATCCATTCTGGAGGGGGGAAGAAATAATCTCTGATTTAGATTTATTCCAGGCTTGGAGCATTAATATTTCTTGAAAAGACTTAATTATCTTTCTTTAGAGTACAAAAACACATCTCGAGTGCAGAATGCAATTGGAAGTTCCTCAGTCGCTGAAAGATGGTGGTAGTTTGGAAGAAATTCAGGGAAGAGCAGCAAGAATGCTGGAGAGGCTGAAGGAATTGATTTATGAGAGAAAGAAGATGAAAAGAAACGCATGAAACTTGGCTAAATGATGTCTAAGTGGGAGATATGATTATCTGCAAGCATTTGAAGAACATAATGCAGAAGGATCCCTGAGGGTGGTCCAAGGAGGTAGAAGTTAATAACATGAAATAAAGCAAAGTGTAACTTGGCTATTGAGAGATGCTGTTTAGCAGAGATTTCTTGCGCTGCCAGGTTATCTTTGCAGAGGAAAATGATGTAGATCCACTTTGAGAATACTCATGTAGCCTGCCTGGATGTTTCCTAGTGCCTGTGTCAGGGTGAAGTGGGGAGGGCAGGGTGGTGGGGAGGAGGAGGACAGTGTGTTTTTCATCTTGTTTTTGTGTTCAGGCCTGCTTTTATTGCTTGAATGACAAGGTATAACGTACTTTCTAGACCGTTTGCAGCAGCATCTAGTTTAAAGTAAATAAAAAGTATTTTCTGGCAGAGCTGCCCTTCTGCAGGCCTGGCTTGTGGAGCTCTTTGGGTTTTAACTGAGGACCAAGCTTTAAGATGTGTTAATCGGTAGGATGCTGCTTATGTTCCAGAGGGATTGTATGACCAAATGTATAAAAAGTGGGGACATAATCTGTAAACTCACAAGAGTTTTGCTTGGTTGAATAAGCTGCTTCAAAACCAGGCAGGGTTTGAACAGCAGTTTAAACTACACTGCACTGTGAGTTGTGCATGTGTGTAAGGGACGGATGAGGTTGGGTTGGAGTTGTAACTGAGAGCTCTGCATTGTACAGGTAAATGAGTGGAAAGAGCTGTTCACCTTTGAGTCAAGAACCGGTTTGGGAAAGCAGGAGCTGTATGTTGAAGTGTCGTAGTCTAAAGAAGACAAAAGCTAACAATGGCAGCCTTTGGAAGACGCTTATTTCAACACCAGGTGCACCTAGGAATGTCATGCCAGGTGATAAGAAATTCAGGGGGAAGTTCAGCGAATGGTTGGAATAACTTAGTGCTAATGGTGGATTTTGTTTAACTGTCTCTCAAACAAGAACTGACCCCGTAAAACTCTGCTCAGTTTGCTGAATCCCAACAGAGACTGGCTCTGGGTGCGCCCCTTTCATTGGTCTTGGTATGTTGCACTTGTGTTTGATGGCTGTGAAATGTAGTGACTTTTAACTCTAATTGGAGCATATGTGGTGCCTCAGGCGTAGTTCTCTTTCCTTTCTGTCCTTGCTTGTCTAGCTGCTGCTGAAGTGCTCATCCCGTCTGAGGCACCGCAGCGTGTTTGACTGTGATTCTCCTCTTTCTGACTCAATACAGTGAAAACTGCTCTGTGTGAGATGAGTTGGAAGCTGCCCTGTTTCTTAATGCGAATGAAGCGTATCTGACGCTCCCGACAGTTGAACAGGCTTCTGAAGTGAGCAAATCTAAATGTAATAAAAGGCACCCGTTTCACAAGAAGGGACATAAATGAGAGCATTAGAATATAAGGTGGGGGTTTTTTCTTTGCTGTTCTTTCCACCTGTGCAGGATAACAGGAGTTTTGAGGCTCTTACAAGAGGTGAATTCAATCTGTGTTTGTGACTTCTTGCCTTGCATTTATAATGCTCACTGTGTATAAGAGAGCAGGTCTGTCTTCACTGTTCCCACTGCTTGTTGTGGTAGAGGGGTTAAAAACACCATAAGGTCTGTTCTGAAATGATCCCAGGGATGTGCTCCCTAGATTGG